CTAGAGCAGTGAGGACTTCAGCTTTTTAGAACAGGACTCGGGGTGGGGAGGGGGGGTGGGTCAGGAGGTCTCTTCCCTTCCAGGTCCTTCTTTCCTTACTTGAAGTTGAAGAGCTTATTTGAGCCTGTCCTCTCTTCTGGCAAAGATTAAAATCAGAGATGGTTGTGCCTCAGTGTGACCCTTGTGTGTCTGAGCCCCCAGCCCTGCATGGTGGCCGCTGTGGCACGATTTCCTTTCAGCAGAAGTATCCTTCCTCCCCCTTTGATCTCTGGGGCTTGAGGCAGGGGATGGAGGAGGGGGAGCATATCTCACCGTCTTCTCTCTGCCTCTATCTGGCTGTGATTTTCTGGGCCCTGGTTTCCTGACCTGCACAAGGGGAGTTGGAACAGCATTGCAGTAGAGTGCGATATGTGACCCCTACCCACCTCACCTCGTTCCTTTCTCCCTCCCCGCCTCTCCCCTGCCCACCTCACTCAGCCTGCCTTACCCCTGCCCACTTCACTCAGCCTGCCTTACCCAGCCCACCTCACCCCTGCCCACTCAGTCAGCCTGCCTCACCCCTGCTTCTGTGTTGCTCTGACCGCCCTTTTGTTCTCAGACACAGTCCACCTCAATGTCTTTACACTTGCTGTCCCCTCCACACACCCAACTCTTTTTTGTCATTTGCCACTCAGCACAGAACCCACCTCTTTTTTCCAATAAATCTAGAGTGATATGTGTTCCCCACCCCCCCCCCCATCACATCACATGTCTCATAGGTTTCAAAAGGCTTTTGTTCTCCAAATTTAGTGCACTTATGTATTTGTCACTCATGGATTTCTGTTTTCCCATACCTGATGCACCCTCTGAGAGGGAGAGTCTAGTCCATCTCTTTTGCTCTCTGTTTCCAGTGCCTCTCCAAATTTTTTGGCACACAGTAGGCATGGTACCCACTGGTTGAAGAAATAATCCTTGCCTAATTTTGCTGTTCTCAGGATTAGATGAGACTATGTGTCTCTAGAGTGCCTGACACATAGTAGATACTTAATGTTCAGCTCTTCTTATTGCTGTTGTGTCCTCTACTTTTTTTCTCAGGTCAACTTATTCCTACATTCTGCTCCGCTCACATGTCCCCCACCCCCCACAGCTGAGGTGATGTTGATGGGAAACTTAGGAACCATCCAGCCAATAAGCAAATATTTGTTGATAGAACAATGTATAAAACAGACAGAGTTCCTACTCTCAGGGAGATTGCCTCACTGGGAGGGGCTCAGACAAAGAGGCAAAGGGAAGCTTTTATGGAAGCTGAGGAAAAACACAGGAGTGACCCCTGACCCAAGCCTGGAGGAATATAGTTGACATCTAATCTGACACCTGCAGAATGAGCTGGAGAGACAATGAAGCCCCTTCCCCCCCTCTGTGAAGTGGCCTGGTTCTATGGGGCCACTATCTGGGACACCCGACTTCTAGAAAAACCAAAATTAAAGCTTGGTTGGGCCAAATACTGGGCACCTTGTGTGGTCTAACATTACTAGACAAAGAGGAGTTCTGTACAAGTAAAGTTGTCTAGAAAATTAAAGTCCAGCACCTACCAGCATCTTAACTGTTTTTAGTGAAAATATTTCATTCTTAACTTTTTCTTGCTGACTCAGAATTACTGCCATGATTATATTTCAACTATACTTGGGTATTCTAGAATCCTGCATTCTCAAATAGTGATTATCTTCACTGTCAGGGGGAGTTTTCATTCTAACTGAATCAGAACTAAAATGCAAATGGGCAAGAAGCAAGTTGTGAATATTACTGAGAAAGAAGTTAACTAGAATTGTTTCCTTAGAATTTTTACAGTTCAAATGGAAATCTTTACAACAAATAGTACTGAAACAGTGATATCAACATGCAAAAAAATAAAGATGAACCCTTACCTCACACCATATACAAAATGAAATGTCCTTGATTTCCCTGGGATTCATGAACTGTTTGATTATATTGATCAATTTCTGCTTTCAAAAGAGAAGGCTACACTGAATGTCTGTACTCCTGGAATAAAACGACCATCTATCTGGCCCTGGTTACAGATACAGCAGTATTTGGATGATAATGCAATGTAACACATTTTTTCCCAGTCTTCCCAACCAAAACTCTCTCCTAAGAGCACTCTCCCATGTGGCTTTGCCTTGGTCATAGACCAGATGTGGCCACCTTTCCTTCTGCATTTCCTCCTTCACGTAAAGGATAAGGACGATCTTCAACCACATGATCAGATATACTCTTTGTACAATTCCAGCAGAATTACCAGTGACCCAATTACATCATCTACAGATGAAAAACAGAACTTTGGACCAAAGATCTAACAGGGCCTGAACTTTTGTTTTTATGATGTCACCCTGCCACTAGAGTTGGGACCCGAAATGGTGTGCCTTCATGGCTGGGGGAGTTACTGATATGAGAATTTTGTTTAATTTTCTGTTCTCTGAAGAGTGTTGGGAGTATGTCAGAGAGGAGAAGAGGAAGGCAGAACATTTAGGAGAAGAGGAAGGCAGAACATTTAATTGTGGCAGACAATGTGCCTAATTGAGTTGGAATTTCAGGCCTGATATCCACGTTCTGTCAGGAAGTTTTCAAAGCTGGTTAGAGAAACCAGTTTACTTCCAGGATGAGCTCTGAGTTTTATTTTTGAGTTTTTGGTTGTACCCTGTTAATCCCAGCAAAAAAAAAAAAAAGAAACATAATGGATTTCAGGGACAACGCAAGGATTTGCATCCCCTGTTCCTGCCTGTCCATCCTTCCCTGGAGAGAGTCATGTGGTAAATATCTATTATTCATGGATTGATTTTCCAGGTTATTCAGAGTGTAGTTTCTTCTTTTTGCTGCCTGTTCTTTGGATACCAGAGAAAACAAACAGTAGTTGAAATTCACATAGGTCTGCATTTTACTTGTTAACTTAGGTAAGAAGTAAGTGGGAAGGTGAAAGAGACAGAGCAACAAACCAGGTGTGTTGCTGATGAACTCAACAGATCAGTACCCCCTGCTATTCTGGGGTTCCAATGAAAACAGGCTATAAAGATGAATCAGGAAATGAAATGAGAGACAGAACATTGCATTTAGAAGAAATAGAGCACTAGGAGGGAGAGATGAGGCAATGAAGATCAAGGATGCCCTCTGGTGAAACCTCTCAGCCAATAGGTAACTTAACATAAACCAGAAACATATGGCTTTTCTGTACGGATTCCAATTCTATTGTGTCCAGACCCAGGACAGGCTGCCTCAAGATACTCTACAATAATCTGTATTGATATTTTAAACTAAAGTTACTTAAGAATCTGCCTGTACATGAAGTAAGCCTGACTTCTCTGTGCCCCTAAAAGCAGAGATAAATCTCCCATGTGATAGATACCCTCAACACTCCTGAGGGCTGAGAGAGAATATAACCAGAGTTAAAAGAATCCAGAGTCCAAAGCTTATATAAACAAACGTTAAATGTTGAACTGCCTTTACTAATTTACTACCCGAGCCCAATCCTTGCATAGATTCCTTTCTAATGAGCACCAACTTTTTTGTCCTGTGCACTTATCACAAATTCATTTTTTTCCTAAAAAGTATAAGAAGGGGACTGGTTCAATAGTTTCTTTGAGCTTCATTGTTTGATCTAGGTATCATATTGTGATTCTCCCATGCACACATATTAAACTGATTTTTCTCCTGTGAGTCCAGTCTTGTGTCAATTTTATTATTTTACCTTAGTCCAACCATAAGCACTAAAGCAGGGTACCCTTCTCCCCAACAATTGCAACCGGTTGGATATACCTTTCTTAGTTAAAACAGCCATCAGTCAAGCAACTTCGAATACAACTACCATTTGATAAAATGCACTACTGTATTTTCTGCAGAATAAACAATTACTTAGAACATATAGTACAGATGGACTAAGTCATGCTTAGCAGCCTATTTAGAGAAGCACTGAGCACTGCGCAGGTGTAACAGCTTCAGAGGCACAATCCTTCTTTCTTCCAGATATAGGAAGAAATCTTGAAGCACAGTTTCTGCCTCAGTCTTTGGACAGTGACTAGGACAGAAGCTTTTGTAGCAGAGGGGGGACATTTTGGCAAGTTGGGAAAGAGCATTGAGTCCACCTGGACTACCTGAGTCACCCACCTGCAAATCACCTGAAGCCATAATCAGGTCATCACAGGAGGGTCTGACAGTCATCAGATCCCTGGCAGAGAGGGAATCTTGTATTTTTATGCCCCTCTCTTAACATATAAAGATAGTTTGTATGCAAAATAAATACACTTGATAAAGGGTTGGCAAATTATGGAGCCTGTGCCAGATCAAGCTCACCACCAGGACTTGCATAGCCCATGAGTTAAGAATGATGTTTACATTTTCAATGAGTTAAAAAGAAACAAAAGAATCATAATATGTGAAAAATATATGAAAGTCAAATTTCAGTTTCTATTAATAAAGTTGTACTTAAACAGCCACACTCATTCACTTCCATATCATCTGTGGTTGATCAGGCTATCACAGCAGAGCTAAGTAGATGGGACAGCGACTGTCTGGCCCACGAAGCCTAAAGCATTTACCCTCTGTTTCTTTAAAAAAAACAAACAAACAAAAGTTTTAATTGATCTTTAGAGAAAGGAGGTGAGAGGGATAGAGATAAAAACATCAATGAGAGAGAAACATCATTGATCAGCTGCCTCCTGCACACCCCCTACTAAGGATCAAGCTCACAATCTGGGCAGAAATCAAGCCAGTGACTTCTTGGTTTAAAGGTTGATACTCAACCAAAAACGCCAAACCAGCCGGCTACCCTCTGTTTCTTTACAGAAGTTTCCAACCATGCTCTTGAGTCCAGAAGGATCCCACAAGCCTCACTTTGGAATGACTTTGATGGGGAGAATTTGTTACCTGCCAAACATTAGTATTTCCACACTCCCTCGCCTTGAGGCAAAGTCACCGTGGCCAAGGCCACTAAAAACCGATGTAAAGAGAAGCCATACAGAAAAACCACTTACGTAGGATCCATAATCCACAGCTAGGGTCTGCAGGGCCCAGGGGAGACCGAGGCCAATGAGGATGTCAAACACATTGCTCCCGATGGAGTTGGACACAGCCATGTCTCCCATGCCTGCGGGGACAAGAGGCCACTGCGGTGAGAGAAAGGATCTCAGGGGAGTGCCCACAAGGGACTCCCTGAAACCTTCGATCTGACAGCCAGAGACCTAGCTGGCAGGTCTGCAAGCTCACATATTTGGTTCTCTCCCAGGCAGATTTTGGAATAGTGATTTTAAACCTTTTCCACCCCATGGCACACATAAACTAATTATTATAATTCTGCAGCACACACAAAAAAAATGTGTGTTTTTGTAGAACTGACAAAAAATAAGTATAATTGTGATTCATTCACACTGGATGGCTATGGTTGTGTTATGTTTTTTATTTGACAAGCTAAGGGAAAAGAGGTCAGTACCCTTGACAACATAGTTAGGTATTGCAGGTTTTAAAACTTCGGTTATACACAGGTTGAAAATCACTGCTATAGGTTGATGCTGCCTGTAAAACACATAATCATTGGAGTAGAATATGTATTTTCAATAGAATTCAATAAATTACACTTTCTTCAAACTGTTGACCCTTACTTCAAATATGATCACGGGTCAGTTGTGCTTCAAAAATCCAAATATAATTTAATAAATTAGAATACATCCTTATAGAAAGGAATACACACAACAGTTGTATAAAGGGGCGCCTGATCTCAGCAACCCATACATTTCAGTATCATCACCCACCTGTTTTACACTGTATTCATCCTTCTAAACCACTGAGCAATACTAAGAAGAATAATGTAACCAGTCAACTTTTGCGAGGACTTGTAGAGGACACTGTGTTGTGTCATAGCTAGACATTTCTGTTGAAAACAAAGGTCCTCTAGCACAAATCAGGCATACACATTAGAGTCCTGGGGAGGGGCATGGCCATCCGGGGCATCCACCTGGGAAGGTTAACTGTGACCTTGGTTTTGAAGGAGGGGAGGATCTGTCACACACTGAAGTGACCTATGGCAACTACTACCTCGAGGGTTACTGCAGCTGAGTAAACCTTAGGCTATGTGGTCTGTGCTCTCTAAGCCTCAGTTTCCTTATCTATAAAATGGGTGTACCATTGTCCCTAACTCATAGAATTTTTTAAGTTATATAAAATAATGTGCCTAAATTGCTTTACTCAGTGTGAGGCACTTAGCAAAGGTTAGCTATCAATATAGTTGTTACTATTTTTAAAATTTTTTTAAAAAATGGTAATACAACCTCCAGAAAGGGGGGGCTGGTGTTACATAGAAAACTTCTCTGCCCTTCTGGCTTGTTTCCCTGTTCTAATGCCAAGAAGCCTTTTGACCAACATGGCACTGAAGTCCCCCATCACCCCTTCCAAGCTGGGATTTGAAGGCCTGGTAATTGCCAGGTGGACACCCACCCTCCCACCCCCTTGTTGAGAGGTCTTTCTTCCTCCCCTACCCCAGCCCACTGGGGGCCCCACCTTGTCTGGCCACGATGAGGCTGGCCATGCAGTCAGGCACACTGGTTCCGGCTGCCAGGAAGGTGATGCCCATGATGACGTCAGGAATCCCCAGTGTGTAACCGATGATTGTGACCTGGAGGAAGCAGGAAGAGGTGGTGAGCTGAAGGCTGACTCCAGCCCTACCTGCCTGTGCATCCTTTGACCAAGACATAGAAAAGGCAGTCTCTTCAGAGGGCGGTGTAGGCTCTCTGAATGAAGATGGAAGGGAAGAAGGTCTCGGGGAGCTGCCTGGGGCTGCAGGTCAGTGGACCAGGGTGCAGTTATGGAAGCTCATGTTTTCCAATCAAAGATGGGCCTTTTCCACTCGTTCCTTTCAGCTGAGACAGATGGCCCGAGAGAGGAAAAATAGTGCCTGGGGTAAAAGCAATATTGGGGTGGAATATTTACACCATGGGTGGTCCTGGGAAATGCAGAATGCATAGCTGCCAAGTTGGGCTGGGAATTTGAGCTGCATGATGGGAATCCACACCTCCCAGTCTTGTAGGAAAGGCCATAGTTGCTGATTCCTTTCCTCTTTCTCTGGAAGCTTGCTTAACGTCACCTTTGTCAACACTGCCCTCCGCACAGAATCACTGATGTTTGCTGAGTACTCGGGCACTGTGCTAAGTGATGTTTGTGTGTTTTAACTGACTTAATTCTCACAACACCCCCATGGAGTAGTGCTATCATTATCTCTCTTCTTTAGATATGGAAACCCAGGCACTGCCCAAGGCACATGTGTGGTTAAGTGGCAGAGGGGGGCATTCCCTCCCTGACAGGCAGGCTCCTTTGCACAGGCAGTGCCTCTGTCTACATGGGAGGGGTTTGGCCTGAGTCAGTGCCTCCATTATGCAAATGAGCCCATTCTGGCCCCGTTATCCCAGATGGTAAGACAGAGGAAAACAGGTGGTGAGACATCATGGAGGGGGTGGCCAGCAGCGACTAGAAACCAAATCCCTATACATTGGCCTAAGGAGAGGATAACTTGCAAGAACTGAGAGGAATTGGTCAGGATGCCACCTGACCTCACTCTCTATAAAGTTACAAGAAATGCAAACCATGAACTGTAAATAGCACATTCTCACAGTTCTCCTGGCCAGCGGTTAAAGGAGACGCCTAGGAATGCACCCTGACTTCCTCCGAGGCCACAGGTGCTCCTTCGCAGTCCAAAGGTTTGTGGGAAGTTAGTCACATGGAGATGCCTGGCTGGCCCTCTTTTAAACTGGAGAATGCACCTCATTTCTGTTCAGTGCTGAATTGAACTTGGGGTGGCCTTGGGACTTTCTGTCTTCCTCTCTCCAAGGAGGAAAGTGAAATGCAGAAAACACAGCATTTCTGTCGGTTGTTCTGAGGAGGCTTTGGAGAAGTGGCGCTACAAGGATCCTGGCCAAACCGCATTTTCCTTTCTAACAGCCCTCAGCAGGGTCTCTGTGAGAATCAGGTTTGTCTTACTGGGGCTTGGCTTGCCCTCTGGTGTTATTGCGATGCTTGTGGCTGAGTCTGGAGTTTTGGGGAACTGATTCCCCAGACGGCTGGACCAGGTCTCCTGCTTCCTGTTTTCTCCCTACTCCCCACCCCTTCTCAGGACTTCTTAGAGCTGTCTCTCTTCCCTAGGAGGAGTCCGACAGAAGGAGGGTAAACCTCAGGTCAGTGGGTGGGTTTGCCTGTAGGTGGACTTGGGAGAAAACAACTGAGCACCTAGAGGACAGGGACAACAACACCAGTCCCCAAACCTGGAGCAGAGACAGCATCCAGTGAGTATGTCAAATAAAACTGTTAATGAGTACAGGAGAAAGGAGGAACCTGTGGCTATAAGATTTAGGTTGAAAAAAAAAATCCTGTTTCTCCATGATGTTGAAAGCAAGGGATAATTATGATTTAACTGGGCCAAAGTTCACAAATTTGTTATTGCCTCCAAAATAATCCTTCCAGAACATTTTATTAGCTCTTGAGTATAACTTCCCGCACTCCATGGATGTTGGGGATGATGGAATGTGAGTGGAAGGCACAGCCAAGGCCCTAGAAGGCACCATGCACTCCAGTGATCCACCATGAGAAGAGCGTTCCCCAGGCAGCCACTGGTCCAGGAAAAGGGGCAAACACATGGATTAGACATAAACCCCACCTGCTGCCTGAATCTATGGAACCACGCTGTGGCTTGAAGTAGAGTTGCTCAGTCAGTACCTGCTGAAATTAGTCCAACCATTCAACCTGAAGATGTAAGCAAAAGGATAAATGCTTGTGATTCTAAACCTCTGTTTCAGGGTGTTTTGTTATGCAGCTTATTGCTGCAATAGCTGACTATTACAGTGTCTGGGCTGAAACCCCAACCCATATTCCCCTCTGGTTGAGTGTATTTCTCTCTCTATATAGAGATGGAGGGCTGCCGTGGGGTTGATGCACTCACCATCCACACCATCATGTAGGAGAAGGCTGCGATCCACAGTGTGGAGGAAGCAAATGTCACCATAAACCACTTCTCCCACCGGGGCTTGTTGCAGTTGGGTACCGTGAAGTATAAGACAAAACTCAGTGGCCAGGTGAACACCCATTTCACTGTCTCCAGTTTGCCGGCTGGGAAAATAAAAAGGGCAAACACAGAGACACACAAATCAGTCAGCTTCAGTCCTCTGCTCCACCGGCTCTCCATACTGCGTTCTCCAGGCACTTATAGCTTAAGTGATGGCCTGTGAAAGAAACCTTACTATGTTGTTCTTTCCCTAAAAGACACAAATGGCTTTTCATCACCAACAAAACCTGACGGACAAAACCAAGCAGAATACCAACCTTCTCTCAGCCCACCTGGTAGGGAAGGCCTCCAAAATGAAAGGATGAGTCACTTCCGAATCGTACAAGGCTGGGAGGGATGGCTTGGCAAATGAGGCCAGGAGCAAAAGAATGAGGAAAAATCCAGGACACAAATGGGTGAGGGAAGCATGTGGGGGCAGAGGTTTGAGGGAGGAGTGTTGCTGGCCTTTGTTGTCTATTCTCCAACTGGATCCATAGGTCACCATAGCTTTCCAGATTGTAAGGCATCAGTGGTCATAGCATTGTCTATCAGCATTGTCTGTCAATGCACTGAAATCTTGAAAGATGATTTGAAAGCTCTCAAGGTTGTCAAAACAGAGCACTGAGTGTTTGTATCCCAAACTGATATGTACTTTGAATCACTGTTTTCTATTTCTCTAACTACCTGTTTCCATGAATAAGATGACGGACTTGTCAGTGATGACCTGATCCTCCCATCTCTGTGCTGCCTGAGGACTTTGATTCAGAGACACCCATACATAATTGTTTTGGTCACATATGATCATCATTTCCTGTTGCCTTCAATTTGAAAAACATATTAGTTCTCTTTTGGTCTTTATAATCTTCCTGTTTCAGTGCTAACTCACCTGCAAGAACTATGCATACATATATATACTCTCTTCTTCAATCACAATCTCCTCTTCCAGAAGTTTCCCTGTGCTTCCTTCTAGTCATCTTCCCACCTGCTACCACCATAGATGAATCTTTCCTGTTCTTCAACTTCAAATAATAAAATCATATAATATGTTTTTATGTCTACCTTCTTTCATTCAACATGTTTTATTCTGTGTGATTCATTCATGTGTAACTGATTCATTCATTTTAATTGCTGTGCAGTATTCTACCCTGTGAATACACCACAGCTTGTTTACCCATTCTCCTGTGGATGGGAATTTGGGTTGTGGCCAGTTTTCAGGTATTACAACAAGAGTAGCTATGAGTATTCTTGTACAAGTCTTTTTAGGGCAAAGACCCAGGAGTAGAATTGCTGAGTTATAGGGTGGGTATTTACTTAACTTTATTTGAAATTACCAAATAGTTTTCTAAAAAACGATTGCACCATCTTCTATCCTGACTAGAGATAAGAAGGTATTTAAAAAATATATATTTTATTGATTTTTTTACATAAAGAAAGAGAGAGGGATAGAGAGTTAGAAACATCGATGAGAGAGAAACATCAATCAGCTGCCTCTTGCACACTACCTAGCCGGGGTATGCCCGCAACGAAGGTACATGCCCCTGACCGGAATTGAATCTGGGACCTTTCAGTCCGCAGACTGATTGGTGCTCTATCCACTGAGCCAAACCGGTTTTGGCTAAAAAGGTATTTTTAAAATACATTTTGAACAGGGACTAATGAAAGGTTTAACAAAACTTATTTCATAATTTTCTACCAGTATCCAGCATTTATTATATTTCTTACCACTCTCCAAATATTTTCTTAAAACACAGAACCGAGTTACATAACATCACTTTTGGCTCCCCGGTCTCCCTCAGATGGCAAGATGGTCACTAAGGGAAGAGTGGAGCTTATTCACAAGACAGCGCTGGCTCCGGTGCCCGCTTTGCCTGAACCAAATGTCTCAGATACTTACATCCCCTAAGTCTCAGTTTCATCATCTGTAAAATGTGGACAGAGCAACACTGAACTCACAGAGTAGCTGGAAGAATTACATGGGATATCAGGATGGGGCTGGGACAGTGTAAGTTGGCAGGTTGGTGGAATCAAAATCCTCAGGATCATTCTTGACTCTCCCTGTTCTCTCAGCCCCATACCAACACTGGCAACCTGCCCAGGGCACCCTCAGTCTGCCTGCAGCTCACGATTCCCACAGCCTTTCCTGGGGCCAGCCCTCCATCCACGACCTTGCTGAAGACCCGAGTTCCTAAGGGACTCACTGCTCCTACACTTGCTCCACCTCCATCTGCTCACCATCAGTAGCCAAAGGAGAGTCTCAAAAAGTAAACTGTTCTAGAACCTTCTACTTGCTTCTACTGCCCCCAGAGAAAAACAGTATCTCCCCACCTAAATGATTTGGCTCCCACTTACCACTCTCCCTACTTACACATGCTCCTGCCCAAGCTTTCTGTCCTCAGACTCACCAAGCTTCTTTCTACCTTAGGGCCCTTGCACCTGCAGTTCCCTGCCAGGCCGTCCATCGAACAGCCCCAATGTCCTCTGACTCCTCCGATCACCTATCTAAATAAGACCCTCACCCACCCCACTTCTTTTCCATCACCTTCATTTGTTTGCTTCATAGCCAATGATTTCTGTCTGAAAGTATCAGGTTTGTTTTCTTATTTGTTTTCACTTGTCCCAAACTAGAATATAAACTCTATAAGAATGTTTTCTCAAGCATGCTCAGTACTTTAAATGCCATGAACAGGGCAAGGCATATATCACATGATCAATACATATTGATAATATTGACAGTAATAACACGGCTAGGAACAATATAGTAATGTGTGTGTGTGTGTGTGTGTGTGTGTGTGTGTGTGTATGTGTTTGTGTGTTTAGGATCGAAAGGTATCCCACTTACAGGTGCAGAATAAAGCGAAGAGAACAGAATAAGAAAGGGGGTGTCTTTCCCCATTAGCAGTGTGTTGTTAGATTTCAGATTTGGAGGTGGTAAAGTGAATGAGGAGACACTGAGACTGTTTGGCTGGATCACAAAGCAAGATGACTGCCTGAGGATTTGTTTTCTGAGGGCTTTTCACGTGCTGCAGAATCCAGATTATGGCCAGATTTTGGAATCCAAATGCATCCTGGAAGTCTGTACTTCCCTAAATCCTGCAATGTGATAGTGACTTATCAGCCTGGGGGCCTTGGCATCCCCTACTGGCCATGCAGTCCCCCAGATGACCTCCTAGGGAGAGAGAGTTTAATATATACACCCAATCCAACTTACAAAGAAACACATGAATGAGCCGAGAAATGACTTCAATTTGGCTATTTGTCATTCTTTAGAAAATAAAAGCGATAAGAAAAATGAAGTCAGGACTTAGGACTGCAAGGGCATAGAAATGACATTAGGTAAAGTTTCCAGCAGTACAAGCCAGCAGCAATGAGTTTTGAGTTTGGTCTCTCAGCTGAAAAAAAATTTTGACTTCACACTGGGAGGACATTATATCTTGAAAACTGTTTTCACTGTCATCCAAAATGCTATAGATGCTTTCTTTGAGTTACAGTTCCATTGTAAGAACAAATTTAAAGCAGAAATTCAAGGCATACCTTTAAATGAAATATAATAAATATAATTTCTTGAATAAATCAAGTGATTCAGAAGTGTGTGTTTTTAATGGTTTTGAGGACAATGAGTGGTCAACTTTGCCCCTCAGGCCAGGCACTGCCCAGGTCCTGCAGATACAGCAGCAGTTGAATGAAACAAAATTCCCTGCACATGTACTAGTGGTTACATGATTTCTTGAATGCCAGCCAGCAAATGGGAGCTGGAGCAGGGACCCTGAGCATCCTCGGTCAATATCGCCGGATCTAAAAAGCAAAGGACTTCTTCCCAAGTTACAGTTCTAATTAAGCTTTTTTGGACACTTAATTCTATTGGATGGAAAAAAAGTCATTCATTGCTCAGTATTTTAGACCTATAGTTAAATATATAAATTTCTTCTAACCATATAGACTAGTGATTGGCAAACCACAGCTCTCGAGCCACATGCGGCTCTTTGGCCCCTTGAGTGTGGCTCTTCCACAAAATACCACGTGCAGGCGCGCACGTAGCGTGTGATTGGAACTTTGTGGCCCATGCACAGAAATCAGTTTTCGGCTCTCAAAAGAAATTTCAATCGTTGTACTGTTGATATTTGGCTCTACTGACTAATGAGTTTGCCAACCACTAATATAGGCAATTAAAAGGTATACATTGTTTTAAAATAAAAAAGCAGAGAAAATAAAAAAATAATCCCAAATACAAAAAGCATACTTATATTTTTGTGTATTTCTTTTCATTTTTTAAAAATAAAAGTGTGTTTATCTACATATACATGTAAATGTTTCTGTTTCTCTCAGTCACTAGGAAGGCTTTCTTCACACAAGAGATAAGAATATATGTACGATTTATATGTATGTATACATATATAGATATACTATGCATAGTTGTCCATTGTATATTATATATTTAATCTACACATATATACATAAAAACTCAGGTATGTTAATATGTGTGTATGCATTATGTAATATATAATACCTTAAAGTTGTGTACACACATGCATATTAACAGACAATATATTAAATTTGTGCAGCATATATACAAATATGTTATATGCATATATTAATGATATTGATCATACATGTGCACTAATATATACACACACATACTCATGTATACACATATAAACACACGTGTCATATCTATCCCTATATTTATATACTCCCACAGAATTGCTTATTTGTTGATTATACCCACTCAAGTCCTGGTGAGAAGGAAGCCCTGCAGCTGGGTAACTGGAACAGCGGAACCTGGCTCTCACAGGATCAAGAGAAGAAAAATGTGCTCGTTGTGTGGACAGACCTTTCTCAGGCTTAGGGAACTTAGCCTGAGGAACCCCAGACTGTTGGTGCCCTCTGCTGGCCCGAGGCCCCCTCAGGCTGCTCCGTGCTGGGAGCAGGCCTGCCTGTGGGAGGGCCTGGCTGGACACAGCCTCCAAGCCTCAATGGAAGTTCCTGGCTCCAGGAATGAGATTTCTCAGCAGCTGATGGAGGAATACCGAGGCTCAGAGTTGGACAAGCCCAATCTCCATTTCAGAGGTGGAACTGGGCGCGGAATTAGGCTCCCCTAAGCTTCAGTAGGACTGCAAAGTCACGGAAGTGTCTCCAGGCCTCCAGCCCTTTCCCATCCCAGGTGTGGCCTGTGGGCCAACAGCACTGGCATCACCTGAGGGCTCATTAGAAACGAAGACTCTGAGGTCCTGCCCTTCTGAAGCAGAACTTGAGTTTTGTCAAGGAAGCTCTGGCAAGAAGGACTGGTGTACAGGAACTTGGGACCTGTTTGCTTGGGGCCCTGGTAGCAGAGACCCCCAGGTAGCAGGCCCACGCAGAGCACCGTTTCTCCTGTGGGGCCTCTGGGGCCTCTGGGGCTGGTGCTTGTGAAAGATGCAGGGGCCCGAGGTGGGTCTGAGCCCATGCCTGCAGCCAGGTCTCCTGTCACATGAGGAAGAAGGAAACACAGCTGGAAGCCCTGGAGCCTCCTCACCTCCTTGGTTTTGGAGATGAGGAGACACCTCACACCTCACAGCTAGGCCTGGCACTTACCTCATCCAGGTGAGAAATGGGGACACGTGATCCGAAAGGGGCCCTTAAACCCAGCCAGCCTTCTGACCTACAAACCCGAGAGCTATTCAACAGGTGTCATTTTACGTGGCTGAGCTTGTGATAACCTGCTGTGTGTGCAGCAACAGGAAATGCACACAAGAGTTTACAAGGGATGAATGGAGCGTCTGATCCTTTAACACGTTAAGCGCCCAGCCTGTTTTGTCTTCTCAATGGAAAGTATAGTATCAGTCACCAGTGACTGACTGGGTGCTTAACATGTTAATCCTTAAAATGCCTTTGTCCTGGTTGATACCATTTCCCCGAAAATAAGACAGTGTCTTATATTATTTTTTGCTCCCAAAGATGTGCTAGGTCTTATTTTCAGGGGATGTCTTATTTTTCCATGAAGAAGAATATGGTACACATTTATTGTTAAATGAAAATAAAGGAAATTTACTACCTGTATACGGTACGGTAGTACGGTAGTTGTCAACACAAACCAGACAAACTGTGAATCCTACAGTATCAAGAATTTACTCATTTATTCAACGACAATCATGTCATCATCTTTTGGAACATCATCATAACAATCCAATTCCTGAATTTCCTGGTGAATTTCTTGTGACTCCATTTCTTTAAGAATCAGTGGACCAAATCTCTCATGGTTAGCAATAGCACTGTCTTTAAATAAGTACTTCTTGTCAAGGTAGCCTGCTCGCAGTGCATTTGCAATGCAACTGTCAGTGATTTTCTCTCATGAATTCTTCACCCAAGTCACAACTTCTTGCAGTTTAGGTTTCACAAAATTTCCACGCTGATTTCTCTCCATTCTATTTTCAATGTAGTCATTAATTTCCATGCGCAAATTGTCTTTGAATGGCTTGTTTATTGCAATATCAAGAGTCTGGAGATAGGCCGTCATTCCTGTGGGAATCATTATCTGATCTATTTTTCTTTCGTGAAGAAATGTCTTCATGTCTTTAGCACAGTGAGTGCTGGCTGCATCCCAGACTAGCAGACCTCTTTGGCTCCCTCGCATTAACAAGCGGCAGCATTAAATTGACCCACTTCCTTATAACTGCTTGTGTGGCCCAGAGACAGACCAGCACTCACCACCTTCGCAGCATCCAGTCCGCTCTAATCCTCCTGTTCTTCTACATACATCTGTGAAAGTCTCCTCCTCTCTCCTGCCCCTTGCTCACAGCTCACTCTGACCTCCACTCCGCCTCCACACAGCAGAGACGTCAGGACTCCGTGTTACGTCACTGGTTGCTAGATGCCAGGCGGGGCAGCCCTAGCGACCAGTTTACGGTAAATTAATTTTTTTATTCTGAGACAAAGCCTGGGGAGGGCATTATTATCGGGGGTGGGGGGGTGGGGATGCCTTATATTTCACTCAGAAGGAAACCTGTAAGTAGGTCTTATTTTCGGAGGATGTTTTATTTTCTGGGAAACATGGTAGGAAAGAAGCTTGCTAAGAAATACAGAGACAGTTGGCAAAATGGATCAAAACACAGTATATATATATTTTCTATCAAGATTACCTACTGCCCAGCCAGTGTGGCTCAGGGGTTGAGCATAAACCTATGAGTAGCCAGGAGGTATGGTTCGATTCCTGGTCAGGGCACAAGCCCAGGTTGTGGGCCCAATCTCTAGTGGGGGATGTACAGGAGGCAGCCAATCAATGATTCTCTCTCATCACTGATGTTTATATCTCTCCCTCTCCCTTCCTCTCTGAAATCAATAAAAAATATGTATTTTTAAAAAAGAAAAAAAAGTATTACCTACTAACAAATGGCGATTTCACTCTGGATGGGCAGTGCAGGTTGGGGCATAGGCATCGGGAAGACGTTTTCTAGTTAGTTTTGGTAAACACTTGACCATGCTGAGCTCTCAGGAGCCCCGAGGGGGCCCAGGAGCAGTCTGAGTCTGTTTTACCTGCTGTCTCTTGAACACAAAAAGGAGCACAGAGACCTGGCTCCCACCCTGAAACCCAGCTCTGATGCTCCGCCCCCACATCCCACCCCTGCAAGACCTTTCAGGTGGACCAAACCATCCTTCCCCAGAGTTTAAAGTCCTCCGATACATTCAACCCTCCCGGAGAAGGCACACACACTAATTAAGCCCCACACACTTGACAGTGAAAGTGAGTCCGACCAGTGCACTCTGTCCTGAAACCGTTGGAAGCTTCTGGCAAGTCTAGAAAATGGGCGGAATTTGGGCTCGGTCCACCTGTCCCACAAGGTCACTGGGAAGCCACGTCTTTATAGGAGGTGGTAGTCAGGGGAGAAGGACACCACCCTGTCTTGCTCCTCCCCTGGGTACCAGCGGGGTGTTCTCAGCCAGCCCACAGGATGGGATTTACTCGGGCCAGGATGCTCTGTGCCCAGGTGTACATCTCCTGTGGGGCCTGCCCTGGAAGCAGCAGGTGCTGGGAGTGGAAGCACCTAAATGGAGTGAGGGGCAGGAAGTGAGGGAAAAAAACAACAACAAAGGCTAATGAGGAGGGCTGCACATGTACCCAGGGCTGGCCTTGGCAGGACAACCCCCTGCTAACTGTAATGGGAAGGGAAGGGTGAAGGTGGGTGGAGTGCTACTTCTCGGGAGCCCAAGATGCTCTGCCGACACATCTGGGACATGTACTCACCTCCTTAGCACCAAAAGGTCCACAGAGCAGCTAAGAGAGGACTTCCCCCCATAATGATAAACTTGGCCGAAGAGCCTACATTGCAACCAGTGAGCATGCGTGGCCATCTTGCTCATCTTTGGACCCTCACAGCAGTCTTGCCCACTGCAGATGTTAATGTAAACATTTCTGTGCTCATACAGAGATAGTTCTTTGAAATGAATGGCAGAAAGATAATCAAAGTTAAGAGCATCTACTCAGTGACCTTAAAAGAACCCCCAACCCCAGCCCAGACATAGAACCTCTTACAGGGAGGGTCGAATGGAGTGTACGGTCCTTCGTCATCCTCCTCATCCTCCTCTTCCTCTTCGTCATTCTCGTTGTTCTCGTTGTCCTCGTTCTCATTCTCTGTCTCATTGCCAGCCTCGGCAACAACATCATCCCTCCGAGTCCCATTCACGCCCCTGTCTGGGGCACTGCTGGGCCCTGTCCCATTCTCCACGGTGTGTTTGATGGGGATTTTGATGGCCACCTCAGATTCTCCATTGGTGTAAGCCCTGCTGTTTATCAGTCTTTGTCTCTGGAAAGAGAAAGGCACATTCTTACCACGGGAAGATGGACTGTACATCCCTATACCCAGGACACCAGGTAGCAGACAAGGAGATGCTTTCAGAACACTCTGCAGTCAAGTCTTAAGGGATTCCTCAAAGTAATAACCAACTCAGAAAACCTCCTTCTGGGAAGAAGGATTAACCTTCATGACCCATTGGAATTTGCAAATCATTTTGGAGGAAAATTCCCAATGCTCACTTCAGATTGCACTTCTTTTCTATCAGGGTTCTTGATTCTCTGTGCACTGTGAGGTTAACTTTCTTCTCCAAAATTTAGGAAAGCCACACAAATGTGTTTAGACTAGTGTACCAATAAGGCTGTTGCTCCAGAGAAAAGAATACAGAGGAAAATTCAGGTCAGAGACTCAAGATTATTTTAAAGCAATTTTGGTATGAAACTACTTCTGTGCAAGTTCATTCACATGAGAGGGCTCCATTCAAAATGGAAGATGTAAAGAAAAAGGTTCATAGAAAAGGACCAGAGAGGTGTTCTCCCCCGCCCCCCACCCCCGGATAACTGGGAGCCGGACCATGACTATCAACATGTGGAGGGAGGAGCAAGGACCAGGATGTGCACCTGGCCCAGTGAGCAATAATGTTTCAAAATGTCTGAGAGATATTATTGTATTAAATGTTGAATTAGATGCTTCTACTTTCAGACCTGGAAACTTTCTCTCCTTCCCAGTTTCCTATCCCTGTCCAGTGGCAAATGGCTTCTGCTTTCCCAGATACCTCATTGATCAACATGCGGCTGGCCATGGAGAGTCTGGTCTTGGGGGGAAAGTGGCTGGTGATCATGATTCGAAGTCCAGCCTCAGAGAAAGACAGCTGGTGTGGGTAGGCAGACAGCAGCTCATCCACCATGATCACTGATGCTTTGCGGTGGAAATTGGCTAGGGAAGTTAAAAACACAAAATAAAAATATTGAGATTAGGAGCAGGAAAGACATATTCATTCAGTCTTCTTTTCCTTTCTCTTCCTTCTTCCCTCTTATGCTCCCAGTTGTCTTCCCTCCTTCCCTCCCTCCTTTTTTTCCCCCTCCCTCCTTCCCTCTCATCTTCCTTCCCTCCTTATCTGCCTTTCCATCTATCTACTCATCCAAGGAGGGCTTTAGTAAGCAAAATCTGAGGAAGAACCAAAGTCTGTTTTTTTGGGGCTCATTAGTAGCTCTTTAGAAATGATGAAACAATTTAAACCTCAGTCACTGACAGAAAAAATGAGTGATAATAAATAAGAATTCCTCCTTGTTCTCAAAGAATTGACCCCCTTCAACTCAGATCTGAGGCATAAGAAAGACCCCCATAATCTTTAGTAACCTTTTATGCCCTTCAGATGTCATCAATGTTCATACTGAGAGGTTAAAAGCAACAGACTTGACTTTTAAGTGGAGGACATAGTGGAGAAATGGATACATTGCTTCCGTCCCTGCCTATGGATCAGGGCTGATGGGTGAGCGAGTGGCCACTATACGGAGGCCCAAGGCCCAAAGGAGGCTGCAGGCAAATCTTATGTAACGACTTGCTGACTGGCTGGAAACAAGTTCCACCAAGGCCCCTCTCTAGGAATGTGAATCATGAGCACATATCTCTCAGGGACCTAGCCACGGGCCCTCTCCGTGCTCACTCTTGTTTCCAAGCCACCAAACCATGAAATGATCTCTGGAAACACTAAATAATATTAGGAGGCGCTCTCTGCCTCCCTGAGAGTGTTCCTCTTATGGTTACAAACTACCCAGAGAGAAAAAAGTAAGTGATACCCTTATGTGAGATGGCACTGAATAATCTTAAGTCTTTAGTTCAACATGCACATAATTAGGAAAGTCTACCAAATGACTGGTTTTAAAATTCTCATAATTACCAACAGATTCCAAAGTCAGACATATATTTGAAGAGAATCTATAGATTTTCTAATTTCTTTTTTTTCCTGCAAAGCAACCATATGGGATCAAGAAGAAATAAGCCCACATATTTCAAGGGAAAATTAAAAAACAAAACAAAACAAAACAAAAAAAAACCTCAATAAAAAATGAAGCATATTCCAGGCAAAAGTAATTGATAATTTTTGTGTTTCTCTAAGAAATAACATTATTTGAGCTGCTTTATATTATTTATCTAAGTATATAAATGGATTAACAAGAATCTATTAAATATAAAAATTACCTTTAAAAAAAGGTCATTAACTATATCATGCTGCAGCTTGGAAACTGAGGTAAGACAGCCTGGAAGTGAATTTGGATATAACAATATACTCATGACAATTATTATTCATGAAGTATTTTACATACTTTGTCTCCTTTACTCATTACAAAAATTATCCCCATTCTGCAGAAAAGGAAATTGAGGTTCAGAGTAATTAAGTGACCTGCTTTGTGGTCACACAGCCAAAATGTGACAGAATCAATAGCTCAAAACCCATGGTCTTCTCTCCCTTACCATCCTGTCCTAATTTCCTTGGAGCACTCCCAGCAAAGATTTTGCCCAAGAACTTGCATGGGGCTTTCAGTCAGCACATCACCAGGTATGAGACTGCCCCAGGGTATGGCCAAAGGGAGGGGAGAAGCCAGGAACCTGTTCTCCCTCTGAGAGGCAGCGCCCTCTCCAGGCCAGCTGCAGTGCCCCATGCTGCTTACTTCTTGGGCACAGGCTCCCCTTGGTTACCTTTCTTGAGTAGCACCACAGTTGCGTCGCAGTTGCTGCTGTCATCGATTTCAGCATTGCTGGCCAAGCCGTTGACCATGTTTCCAGCACCTTTCGTCCTCCTGTCGAAGCACTGATGTATGCAAGCGTTATATCTGAGCAGAGTAACAAGGGAAGAGAGCCCATCAGCATTCGCTGTTCCTCCATCCTCCAACTCCCAAGTGCTTGCTGGTGGGAGGATGCACCACTGCTTGGCAAACAGTCCAACCTGAATCAGGTTGATTGGTGGCTGACAAGGAGGAAACACAGAGGCCAGAGGGGTAGACCACACTACACCCATTTCCAAACTGTGGACATCTCTGTGGAGCAAGCAATTCACTTCAAACTTTGTTGAAGAATAAATTGAAAGAAAAAAAAAAGGTAAACAAAGGGTGGATTTATAGATGAAAAGAGAGCCCAAACATGGAGCAATCAATTGTACTGAGTGGAATTTATTTGGATTTTGCTTTTTAAAATACTTATGACATTTATAAGATTAAACTAAATCTGTAAAAATTACGTTTATGAGGTGAATTGAAAATCTGAACACTGATTTGATCTTCAGTTATATTGAAAATTAGCATTAACTTTAGATGTGATAATAATAATGTATTATTAACTGACCTGAAGTCTGGGACTTCAAATCATAGAGGGAGGGAAATTGATAGGAGTGTGGATGGAGCAACTGTGAGTGGCTGGTGAAGAGTACATGGGATCCATCACACAATTCCAGAGATTTTCAACCTTTTTCATCTCATGGCACACATAAACTAATTACAAAATTCTGCGGCACACCAAAAATAGATTGTATATATATTTTTTTGCCAATCTGATGAAAACAAAAGGTATACCTTTTTTTATTTGACAATCTAAGGATCTTTTGGGCAGTGCCCCTGACTAAGTAGTCAGGTATTGCATGTTTTAGCAATTCTTGTGGCACCGGTTGAAAATTGCTGCACTATTCCGTTAACTTTTGTCTATAATCAACCTTCTTCTTCATGAAAGATCTCTCCACGTTTTAGACTCCACAAGAGGGCCTTGCCTGACTAATGGAGCCATGTGGGCAGGGCACCGTTCCTGTCATCTTGACCCCACATCCATTCTCCACATAGAAATACTGACTTGCATGAGGGTTTGGTTTTAAAGTACAACTGTGTGTTATATATTTATTTGGATTTGGGTAACAGAATAACGATATGAAAACTTCCTTGAAACCAGATATTGGATAGTAACTATGCTGTCACATCCCACCCTTACAAAAGAAAAGCATTGGAGGTAGGAAGTATTACTAATCCTGTTTTGTAGAAGAGGGAACTGAGATTCATAATGTCTGAATAGCTTGGCCAAGGTCCCCATACCAGTAAGTGGTGGGGTGGGATCCACAGCCAGGCTTTGAAGTGAAGGACTTGACCTTAGCCTGGAGACCATATTGCTTCATGTAGGGACAGGAGTGATGGGAAGAGGAGTGATGCAGAGGTGCAGAAATCAATCCTCGCCGAGGCCAGGTGTGCCTCATGTTCCCAGGAGCTTTCTGGCCAAACAAAATGGCTCTTTGACTTCCCAACAGAAAGTTTAATGTCATTTAAAGCCTTCTACCCAGGAGGCAGCTGATGATTCTAATATATGCCATTTTTAACTGCTGCTGCTCTGTTTTATATTTTTAATTGAGTGTTTTAAATTTTGTGCTTGCACCCTGAAGCTACTGTATTGTGAGGCGTGCAATTTTATAAATCAGATTTCATAAAACCCAATGATTAAAGCCTCTGATTGCAGAGGGGGATGGCTAAATAACAGAGATTTCAATTTAGAACGTGGGACCAGAATTTATGTAGAAAATCCCACAAGCACAGAGGCCGCCATTCCCGGTTTTATTTGCATCCTGCTGGTCTGAGCAGCTGGAAGGCTGGTGAAGCTGAGGCATCAGCAGAAACACACACCTCATTAGCTTTCACACTGGGTATGGTTTGGAGGAGAGGAGAGGAGAAGTCGTTCACTGTGCTCTCTTAGTGTCCATATGCCCGCTAGCAGCCCACGGGCTTGGTGATGGCCTGGCAGAGGGGTGCAATGGTCACAGGAGGGGACTACTAAAACCCCTCAACCCAGCTTCCCTGTAGACCAGCTTTGCTCTTAAAGACCTGCTTGTTCTGTGAAGCTCCCAGTGAATTCAGTGTGGAACATGCTTCCATCTAAATTCGATTCCAATCCCTAGAGTTGCTGGGCATATAGCACACAGTCAATTCTATGGAATAACTGACCAAAATGCCTTTTCTAAAGGGAAGGAAAGGGCTCTTGACTCTTCGAGAACTCAAACTTAGAATCACAGGAAGTTAAAAAAAAAAAGGTGAAATAAATAAAAATGAAAGAAGAAATACACGTGTATTGTTGAGGTCTGTCCACTGTGGCACTGGTTCCTTAATAATTTTGCTATTTTTGAGAAAGAGGAGCAAGATAGATGCTCCCATCTTGAATGACTTTTCCTTTGAAATCTAGGTATGTCAGAAAGTCTAGTGTTTGTGGGAGCCCACCTCTTGGTATTTGTCAATGAAAGGTGATTATTGATAACAGCCCCTGATTTTTTGATCAGTCATCTCGTGGTTACTCTACACCAGGACACTCTAGAAATGTCTTCTTTCAGTAACAAGACCCAGACATGGGGGCCACATTGACCACGGACGGATCCTAAGGTGCTAAGGTGAAGCCTGGACTCCCCATTTGAGTGATGGGTGGCAGGCCCCCCTGCAGACACAGCCAAGCCAGCTCCTGCCTTCACAGTTCAGGTGACCTTTGCCAGAGGCCACACTGATTCCTCTGAACGGGGCTCTCGGCCACTAGAGGCTGGAACTAATTATTGTAGGCCTCAGAGCAAGAAAACCTAGACATACCAGTTCCAGCCTGCTCCTTGCCATGAGCAAACTGGCAGCTCCTAAAGGCCTTCTACTTTCTTACCCCCTGGAAAAGAAGCCACTCCTGCAGTCACATATCTGAGTAAAGTATGGGCTAATTTAGAAGAATAGAAATTGCTCCCATGGGGACTGGCGGCTGCAGCACCGAAGGTCTCTGCACTGTTTATAAGCTCCTCATCCCAATGGTACTTGGCAAAACGATGACCCAGCAGGTTCACAACCCTGGTGCTTACATTTTACCTTCGAGTATGGGGAACATTTGCAGTGTGATTCTTTAAAAAAAAAAAAAAAAATTCCCCCCCTTGATTTCGGAAAGGAAGGGAGAGGGAGAAGAATAGGAACCTTCGTGATGAGAGAAAACCATTGATTGGCTGCCTCCTGCACACCCCACACTGGGGATCGAGCCTGCAACCTGTGCCCTAATTGGGAATCGACCTGTGACCTACTTCATAAGTTGATGCTCAATCATGAGCCAAGCTGGCCAGGCTACAGTGTAATTCTTGGTACAACTAATAAACTCTAAGAGGAAAAAATATATATATATGATGTGTTGGATTTAAAATATATCCACAAATTCTTTGACACTCTTCCTTTCCAAAGGCAAAGTAGACCCCTTGAGTGTGGATTTGATTTAGTGATTTGCTGCTAATAAACAGAGTATGACAAAAGTGCTGGTATGTGACTTGTGGGACTAGATTATAAAAGGCGATGTGGGGTCCTTCTTGCTCTCTCCCTGAGTTCTTGTGTGTGGGACACTCGAGTAGCCTGAAGGAGAGGCCCATGTGATAAGGAGCTGAGGCCTGCAGCCAACAGCCAGCTTGGAGCACCGTCAACAAGGTAACGGCCACTCTGGACAGTCTTCTATCTGCAATCTCATGAAAACCCTGAGCTAGAACCTTCCAGTCCAGCTGCTCCTGGATACCCAGCTCTCAGAAGCTGTATGAGATACCACATGTTTGTGGTTTGAAGACACTAAGTTTTGGGATCATTTGTTACACACCCCAGATAACCATGTGAATAATGGAAGTCCATAGATATTTTCAACCATGGTTTTAGTCCTCTCTTCATTAGCTCTGGCCCCTTCTCTCTTCCTATATAGAAGCATAAGTAATTAAGTTTTATGAAAGAGAGTGAAGAAACAGCCCAAACCTAGGTTGCCAGGCCTTGAAGAGAGCTTTCGCTTGAAAAATTTCAAATTAAACTGAAGCTTTGATTCTATCATCATGCCTGGGTTGGAAGTGTCTTGACTATGGCCACTGCCAGAGCTGCAGCGGTCATAGCAGGTTGCCCAGGGAGCCAAGTGAGTCTGTGACCACACGCAGTGAGAGCAGCCAGACCCCTGCCCTCTCCCCTGTCCCTCTTTCCACATTATACATAATGCTGAATGTAGGAAACAGTGTTGGAAAGGAAATTAAGAAAGTATTTTACTTACTTCATGATGATAATGTAGATAAAATACATCAGCACGAGGATTAAAGACTCCCACCTGTGTACACACCAAGAAAGGCTAGTTAAAGCAAATCGCCATAGGCAGATGTGCAACACACAGACCTATTTTTAAAAAATGTCATTAACGGGAAGGGCAGTAAACCTGCCAAGCATGGCAAGGGTAAGGCAGAAGTGCAGACTGTTTACAAATATTCCCTGGTTGAAGATGTTTTCTGGACTGCATACAGCTTTCAATGACCTTTTTCTTTTTCTCCTTGAAAGGGAAATAAATGCTCCTTCCTCTGTGATTCACTTATTCCAACTCGTTCTTTGAACACAGCAAGCCTTCCATAATATTGCTGAATATAGGCCTCTATTTATAAATCTATCCACAGCTTAAGCTCACTAAAAACTAAATATACTTACCAAAAGCCAATGAGAGGACTTGATAGGGACAACCAAGGAACAAGGCAGAAAGAGAGAAAGAGAGAACCGAGAAGGAGAGGGAGAGGGAGAGGGAGAGGGAGAGAGAAACACTTGGCAGGGAAGATGCCAACAGGAAGGATAAGAATGAACAAGTGGGGACATAGTCAAAGGAGAGAAACAAAAAATAATGAAACCCACTGAAATTTACCTAAAAATTCTGATAATTTGAAAACTTGCACTGCCTTTATTTTAATAACTTCCAACTAAAAAATAAGGAAATTTGAAATCTAGGCTTCCTTTTGGTTGTAGAATAAAATTAATCAACTGAGGGTGTAATTTTGGCTTCTAGAAAAAGTTCTTATAGAATGGTCTATGAAGAAATTGTAGATTATTTCTTTCTTTCCTTTTTACTTTTCTTGTCTAGAAATTTATCCTAGATAAATATGTGGTTAAATAAAAAAGAATGTACATACAAGGGTTTTCACTGCAGTGGTGTTTATAAAAGTGAAGTGTTGGAAGGAAGCAAAATGTTTACATGTGTATGTTATGATAAGCATGTTCATACAATGGGCTGCCACGCATCAGTTAAGAATGATTATGCAAATACTTATGTATTTATTATAGAAAGTGCTTGTTATGCTACTGAGAGAAAGAATCAGGGTGTCCAAATCCCTTGAACTTCTGCTATGTGTCTTGGCTTCTTCACAAAGGTTTGCTACACTACATTCCAGAACCTTTCATTCTCTTAGCAAATTTCTCTAGTCCAACTCCCATATCTGTTGATGCCCTGAAACTCTTGTCAAAGGCACCTGTTCCCTTTATCTACAAACTCCAGGGATGGTACTTTGTCATCCTGTTCTATTTCTCTGCAGCATCTGAGAGTTAACTACTCTCCCTCCTTCGTCAAACACTCTGCTCCTGACTTCCAAGAGGCTACACTCCTACTTCTCCTAACTTCTCCTTTCCCATCCCCTTTGCTTCCTCCATTTCCTCAGTTCAGCTTCTGAATACGGGACTCTTCTCTTTCTACCCACACGTTCTCCCTAGGTGATATCATCTTGTTCTATTGCTACAAAGACCAGGTGACACACCCACCCCACACCTCTGCCCAGCTTCAGGTTCATATATCCAGCTGTCAGTATGGCCTCTCCATGTGGAATCTCAATGCATCTCAGATGGAATTCTTCATTCCTAGCTTCATTTTCCCCTGAGCTTTGCCATCTTAGTGCACTGTCCCACTGCCTGCTCAGTCAGGGCCCCGATCTGGAAATCAGCCTGGAGCGCTCCTTTATCCTCACCCATGTCCAACAGGATTCTATGTCCAGATCTCCCCTGAACTGCCAGCTCTGCCCTCTCCAGTGCTACCTCCCTAGTTTACCTTAACTCTAGCCTCTGAACTGGCTTCCTTGATGCTACTGGGTCATGTCATTCTTCTGCTTAAATTTTTTCAATTGCTTCCCAAAGTTCTTGAGGAGGAAAAAAGGTGCAAATCCTGGTTCTGTTTTCTTCCTCTCCAAATCATTGTGGGTCCTGAATTGCTTCACCATACTGGCCTCCATTCATTTGCACATTTCAAGCTTTTTCCTTCCCCATAGAGCCTTTCCATTACTGTTCCATCTGCCTGTAATGTTTTCCACTCATATCTGGTCCTTTTCATCCTCCAAATATCAGCTTAAAGGTTGCTTCCTCCAAGAAGTCTACCCTGCCTACTCTTGCTTCACCTTCTATCACAAGACTTTGCTTATGTTCTTTAGACCTCTGATCAGACTGTGTCTTACTCATGACTTATTAATATATAATGCCTATTCCTAACAGTCACTGGATAGCAGTTTTCATACCTAGCCCCTATCTCAGCTACATGGTTTCTCGTTTTCAGACACTTAAAACAGACATCTGGACAGCTGATTTCCCAGCCAGGAGACACCTTCCTCCCCCCTCAGCTCCTCTGTGCAGGATGGAACTGCTTCCAAACAGCTTTTCAATTGCAAGACATTCCCAGTGGCCTGAAGAGGGCTCTTATCTTATTGAAACCATAGATGTGGCATCTACTTATTTGGGGAAAATGAGGTTTGATTCACAGTATTCATTTTGAGAGAAGATATACCCAGGATCTAAAGGGATGTCATAGAATTGCTACAATATATTTTAACAGACTCAGTGAGGAGTCACCAGTAAATGAACCAACATCAATGAAATATTTGTTAAGTTGAATTAAGTCTAGCATCTTCTAAATAATTATACTCTCCAATTCCTTTAGATCTTTTTGACTTTTCACTCTAAGCAAATCCTTTCATTGCAATATTCGAGTAAGGTTATCTTCAGTCATGGTTCAAGGGTGCCCATGCCATGGGGGTTCCCTGCTTGTGTTGACATTTCAGGTTTGCTTTGTTGTGCTCAGACTCAGGGCTCCCCTACAAGATGCACCGGGTTCTCTGGGGCCTCTGTACTGCCGCATCTTTCGTTCATTCCCTCTGTTTTGGGGCCTGATTGAGTGTCTGATGATCAAGTTTTGGCTCAGTGCTCTTGGGGTCTCTCCCCGTGTCCTGTGCATGTCTCCAAATGACTTAATTACATGTCTCCCGTCTGCCTCCCCTCTAGCCCAGAGAGCTCACGGTTTGGGCTGAGTTGTGTTCTGTGTTGTGTCTAGTTCTGGAACAAAGCCTGGCACCCAAAAGGTGCTCAGGGAACAGCGGTGGAATTGACGGTCTCTGCCTCAGACCTCTAAAAGCTCACAGCTCTCCTCCCCTTCCTCCCCAGGATGCTCTTCTCCATCTGCTTCTCCTGACTACAGCCCAGCCGCTGTCCTCGGAGGACCTGGTCCTGTAGTACGATCCGGGTTTGTTTCTTCCCTTCTCTCAAACGTCTGTTTTGAGCCACCTTCAACGGGCCCTGATTCTCCTGCCAAAGATTTCCGTGTTGGAGGGCAGTCCCTGTTCTTGCCTGGAGGGCATGGCTCCACTTCCCTAACTATGGTCCAGAACAATGAAGGCTGGCCTCCACATGACACAGGTGGACAGCCTCTGGGCTGTGTTCTCAGGGTCTCCTTTGTCTCCCTAAGTCACTACCTGAGGCTCAAAGAAGAAATAAAAATACCACCCTGGATCCTTTTGTTTTCTTGTTAGACCTTCAGACCCACTGAAGCCACAGTTTGGATTCCTTCTGGCAACATTGTGGGCCTTGCTGAGCCATCATCATGGATTCATGCTCTGCAGGCTGAACATACATCCTAATAGGTGGATGCTTTGTATGTTAAATGTCTTTTGCAGCAGGTACATAACTGGAAAGCACATGACAGATTCTTCTCTGCCTTTGGCCTGCAAATCAAACCCCACTATGTTGAGGCAGCAACCCTTCAATTGCAAGGAGGGTGGGCCCAGTCCCAGGATAAATAATGATTTGTCTAAAATTATATTTCTATTTCCCCTGTCCACTCATTGGTCAAGGCAGACCCAACTGGGACCAAAGAGATGCAAGGTAGGCATAGCACCTTCCTCCTTCTTGCCTTCAATCCAAACTTGATGGCTGGCCCTGCAGCAGCCCTTTGGGGGCCATTAGGAAAAGGCCAAGAGAAAAGTAGAGCCATCGCCCTACCCACACCTGGGGTACTTACTATGTAAGAAACACAAACCAGCATTCTTTAATCTCCAATCGCTGGTTTTTCCTGTCACCTTCTACTAAAAGCTTTCTGAGTACCATCTGTCGGCTAAGTGTGACTCACTGCAGGCCGCCACCTCAGAGCAGCGAAGGAACCTCAACTGTGTAGGACGAAGGTACCTTGTCCCTGTGTATTTGTATTGGACAAGGTTCATTTCTTCCTAAAGAGAACTGTAGTTTCAAATTAAACACTAATGAAGTTAGTTTCCTCCTGTAGATTTGGAGTAGATTGGTAACCTTCCTTGAAACTTCTAGACATGCTGGGAGGTTCTACCACAAGGAGTGGAATTCACTGCTTGCAGTATCATTGAAATATGACTGTGCTTTCATTGCACAGATTGAAGAATCTGGCTTTAAAGAGAGACATCAACTCCCAGACACACCCTCTCAGCAAAATAAATGCTCATGGTTGGCTGGGTAAAAAGGGCTGAGGTGTGGACAAGCCACAACTATCTTAAAGTGCAACATAATTTGCTCTCACATGAAGAGCTGGAATCCCTGGAATTCCCAAAGCAGTTATGGGCCAGCAGCTCAGACTAATTTCTCAGCCTCACTCACGTGAAAAATGTTCTTCGTCAGCCCATCCACATAATAACAATAACAGGCTGGCATCTGGAGATAATGTTCCGGTGCCACGAAAGCCTCCCTACTTCTTTCCTGAAGCTATGCCTGTGCATGAGTTATGATGCGAACCCACTCCAGGCTGAACAAAACACACTGGGAATGTGCAACTCACTTATCTGTGGCCTCCCATTTCCTCATCATGATGCCATATACAGCCTTGGTGCAAGGCTCCAAATGCTATCTGAGGATGGGGTCACCTGACATCACCGGGGGTTCAGCCTTGGGAGTGAAGAGGAACTAGATGGTCCCTTTCTTGCTCCACTCCATCTGAAATACCTGGAAAGATGTTTTGAGGGCAAAGACTGAAATAGGCTTAGCATGAACCCTGTATTCACCTCCATGGTGGCCATCAGCGAGGCCAGGGAGATGCTGCAAAGAGAGCTCCTTAAGACTGACGGACAGCAGAACCCGCCTAGATCTCCTTTCTGAAGGATTCCCACACAAAGGCAGCAGAAACATTTCAGAGTTTGACTGTGATCATGTGTTTGTCTTTATGACAGCAACAACACTGAGCAACATGTGAGCACCCACTGTTTGCTAAGGCAGAGCAGAGGTTATGCTGACCCTGCCATCAGATGCAGAGAGAATTTTTTGCAAGGGCGTGGGGAAAATGTCACCACTCCATCTGGTGAACACGTCCAGGTGGGTCCCATGATAAGGTTCTCCCTGACTTATTGACCTCTGACCTGATGTGCTCCTGGGTGTCTCAATCTTTTTCAGCCTATTGATCACTGTTACTCAAAGAGGACCTACTTCTTATTTTTTATGGGTCAATACAGAGGTTATGTATGTGTCTTAAAGCAAGTTTTCCAAGCCATCTCCTCCTCACCCTTTCTGGACAGAGAAGAGTTGGCAAATGCCCTAGCCTAGTGTATAACATTTTACGTCAATATGATCAGTTCCCCTATCCCCACTTCCAAATTCTGAAAGTCACAGAGATACCCCAGGACACAGAGATGTCTCTCTAACAAAGCATTGGCACCCACTTTGCTGGGAGGGGAGCCTGGTGAACTCTGTGCTTTGTTTTCTAGTTCATTCTTAGCTTTAAATAATACAGTACCACCCCTATCTATTCCTAAGATGTTATTTCACATTACTCTACTTCAATAGATCAATTTTAAAAAAAATAACAAGAACGCACAATGCACCCAATTTCCATTTCAAATAGATTTGACTTGCTCAGAACCCATCTCAAAAAATGGGGATTTGGAGAGTTGGCCCAAATACAAAGGTTCCCAGGTATTTAATTTGGGCAATTTAAAAAAATCTATGCAAAACAAAACCACTGACTTTCCAGAGCTCTAAGATCTTCCGAAATGTCAGACAGAACTTTATGGGTTGGAGGTCAAGTGCCTCCTCCCCTGAACCTCCCCCCAACCCTCCCAGGTTCTGGGCGGAATGTGGAATATGCCAACAAGGTCTGGACACAAGTTGGAAAGATTAGTCAAGTCTTAACTACGGCACAGCCAATAGCTGAGTGCAGAAAGGCACAGCTAAGTCACGCATCTAACCTGGAGGATGAAGACATGTGATATTAGGAGTGGAAACCCACCACCCAGCCTAAGGCAAAGACCTCTGCTCTGTGCAGCTAATATAATTCCTTTATGGAAGTGGACAGAGGGTTCCGGAGAAGTGCTAACTGCTCCAAATTGTCGTGACATGTCCCATTTCCTCCGTAAACCCTGAATCTGGTCTTCCATATATTTGGCTCTGCAACATAACAAGGAACGTTGGAAGGAAAGAGAGGTACTTACCAGGAAACTTGTTCATCGTAAATGAACTGTGGGGGGAAAAGGGATAGATTAGACATGCACATGTGCAAGCATGTTTTATGACAGTCTGCCCTTGCTGCTTGGTAAGAATTGGGGTGGGGCTGGCCTGGCACACGAAGCCTGTGGGCAAGCTCCCCTCTCTGTTGGTTTAGTCTGTGGCCAGTGTTAGTGGAAGGAGGTGCTGTTGGCAGACTGGCGTGGACATGATGGGGAGGGGAGAAGCGATAGGTCATCCCATCCTTCCTGCAATTTCTGTCCAATAGTGGATTATGAGGGAAGCATGACTGGCCTGCTGTGTAGAGCAAGATGTTCTGTAGAATTTTACGTCTGAAGGGATGTAGGCACTTGGCAGGGGCTTTGCACACCCCCGCCATTCTGGGCCACCTGTGAGACGTGTGTATGTCTCTGTGTACTTACTGTACAGCTCCTTCAAGCTTTTACACAAACATTTGGAATTCTTTGTATTCAACACCTTTCTTTCAGTTGACCTATATCCTTAGAATTTACGTTCAAAGGAAACTTTACATCATAGCCAGAAGCTGAGAATCAGCACCAGTTGCGACCACGTGCAGAAGGTAAAAATAAATGCCTGACAACAGTGACTGGGATCCTGGCTGCCAAGGCTCTGGGTCATGGGCCTGCCCTTTTGTTGAAGAAGGATGTTAGCAAGGGTTGAGCAGTGGAAGACACACAAGTACCAAGTGGAGACTTCTCCTGACCAGTTAAGTCCCAAAGAGAATACAAAGTAGGATTGAATTAAGCCCTAGACCCATGGTCAGCAAACTGTAGTTCTCAAGCCTCAAACTGTAGTTCTCTTTGGCCCCTTGAGTGTGGCTCTTCCACAAAATACTATGGCCTGGGGTGAGTCTATTTTGAAGAAGTGGCATTAGAAGAAGTTTAAGTTTAAAAAATGTGGCTCTCAAAAGAAATTTTAATCGTTGTACTTTGATATTTGGCTCTGTTGACTAATGAGTTTGCTGACCATTGCCCTAGACCTTATATCATCTAAAATCATTTCTCATTTGGGGGCAAAAAAACTGGTATAATTTAAGTCCTTTGATTTCGACAGGAAAATTGAGTCACTGAGAACATGAACCATTGTCTTGCAGGGCCGAATTTGCTGCAGCGTTCGTTCTAGAACCCGGACCCGGCTCCTAACTTGGTGCGCTGTACCTGACTTATTTGCCCAGACAGCACATTATTGAAACTGAATGGTGCACCTGTCTTTCCTTCAAGCAGGAGCCAAGGGCTGGTCACTCACTGATGTGACTGCTTAGAGTGGGACCATGTCTGAGTGGTTTTTCCTTCAGGGGGCAATGGCCAATGGGAACCCTAAGGTAGACCTTGCAGGACAGTCTGGGTGTACAGTGTCATTACTGCACGAAGATGATGAATTCAGCTAATGACATGGGCTGGCTTCAGTCTCCAGCGACTACAATGACCATCCGTTGTGGGAGATGCAGAGGAAACCACCACAAAGACCTAAGGGTCCAGAGCAGAGGCACATCCAAGCACCCTCCTCCAATGACCCTGCAAGTGCAGAGAGAGGGGTGAGGAGAAATGGGCACACTTATTTGCAACTCGTATTCTTCAGAGACATTGAAAAAGATCTTGGCTCCATCAGGTTGGTGACTCTTGTCATTGTTATCATGTTAACAGAGTGACACTGGACGAAAGTGTCAAACTGGAAAGGGAAGAGGACTAAGGCAATGGAAGAAGCAATGGTGCTGGATGGTTTGGAATCCACTTTCTGGAAGGCGGTCACGGATGCTTCTGTATAATCACTGGCTTTAAAAGAATTGCTTTCAAGAAATCACTAGCAGAAAAAATGATTTAAGTTAGAAAATGTTTTCTATTAATTGAAGTTAATTCAATATCAGTCTTAAGCAGTGGGCTTGAACAATCAATTCACAGCCACTTAGAAGGACACTAGATACTGGTAAAGGGTTTATTAGAGCACCAATTTGATTTTCATTCTCAGGGAAGGCAGGCTGTCCTCTATAATAGGAATGTAGCTTTTAGGAAAAGCTACATTCTGTGTGATTTGTCTGGCATGGGAGCATAGGTCAATACATCTTTAGCTATCATTTCAATGATCATATCAATAAAAAGATCAGAATGGGTTTAATTGTACAATGGATCCCAAACTGAGGACAGAATTTATGGGAGCACCATAAATCATAGAAACAGTGGGACAAATCGGGACAACATAGGATAAGATACGCAATTGAGGATGGAGCTTCCTGGGCCTGATGTCCAGGTGATACCTATAGCTGGGGGAGGGATAGGGGATTATGGTTCAGAAAGGCAGACAGAGAAAGAGAAATGCCCACGATCTCACTAAAATGGCGCAATCTGCAATACTCCAAGTAACAGACGCAGTCATGTCTCACCCCTGACCACTCTGACAGGAGGCCTTAGCTGCCCTGTGGCTAATAAGCAAACAGTCTGGATGTTACCCCATTACTTTAAGAAAACTGGAAGAGAGAGAGAGAGAGAGAGAGAGAGAGAGAGAGAGAGAGAGAGAGAGAGAGAGGGAGAGAGGAGAGAACTAAAAAAAGAACAATAAAATGGATAAAAAGAAATAGAAACCAGGCCTTTATAAAAATTCAAATGGAAACTGGCTTGTTTATGGTGAGAGAGGAGGTGGAGGGTGAGTTATGAGCCGCCTCCGAGTACCAGATGATCGTCATTCAAAGGCTGAAAATGAGGACATCGGCACTGGTCACAGAGTGTCCCCTGAGAGTCCATCCTTCAGAAGTGTTGGAATCAGCCTGTCTGAAAACTCTTAAAATGACAAGGGCATGCTGCTGATGGTTAAGGAAGGGATTGGTTATTCCTGACAGACTTTATTTTATTCTTTTAAGACAAGTGTTGCATACTCTTTTGTATCATCATACTCTCTCTGTGAGTAAAAGAAGACAAAATAACCTCCCCCATCCCTTCCAGCGGCATTACTAGGGTAGGAGACGACCCGAAATCAATTTTATGTCCTGTCTTAAACAAGAAACCGCGCCCCAGTTCCACCCAGCGACCACTAGATGGCGATCGCAGCACAGCCCTCAGGCTTGTCTCTCTGCCAAGGCAGCGAGGTTTGAAATGAAGTCAGTCCAAGTCCATTAAATCTCCTGGAAGGAGGGCAAATGCCTCAAGGCAAGCAGCCTCCTGAGGGGCCTTCAGCAACCCACTGCAGTCTGTCTCAGGGCAAGGTGAGGTTCTGGAGGCAGCTCCTGCTGGTGTTCTGAACTGGGGACAGGTGGGTGGGTCCCTCATCTTATGCGAACACTCACTTCCCCTGATGCGTTGAGGCTGAGGGACCTGCTGGGTCCCTTCAGAATCGGCCCACTCCTTTCCCAGCCGGAGTTTGAAAACAGGCCTTGGGAAAGCAGCTCTGGGAGCTGTGCTGGGAGCGTTGGGGCCAGGCACTGGCTCTGCCCGCTGTGGCCACATGTGGGCAGTGCTGACTGCTATCTGGGTCCCAGCTTTGCCGTGCATGGCTGGCCAGGGCACCTGCTCTCTGACCCACTCATGGTTCATCCAGAGCCTCTTTTGGCTTCGCCTAGAGCTTTGCACGTGTTCCCCAGACGAATTAAATGGGATCACACAGGAGTGCATTTCTCTTTTCCTCCGGGCTTCAGAGAAACAATTGGGTTCCATGGAAACCAGCTCTTCCAACCTGGTGTCTGCTCTAGAATTCTTCCGAGAGAGTCGGGCTGCCATCAGGCAGGTGGATCTGTGGAGGTTAGAACACCCCAGGGAACTGCGAAGGGAGTGGCACATCCAAGAGGGCACAGGAGGGAAAAGACGAGCCAGGATTCGCCCGGGTGTGTGAACAGGAGTGGAGAGGCTGGCTGGGCTCTGTGCAGGGCGGCAGGTGGCTGTCCCTGTGGTGCCCCAGCCCCTGGGTCTGCTCACTGTGGCTGATACCATGGAGCAGGGCAGCTGCATTGCTGAAGCTAAGACTGCGTCACTGGTATTATAACCACTGGCCCAGTTAGAATTTTAAGCAGAAAAATAATAGAAATCAACGCCATCATTCTCTTTCAAGAGACCAAAGCCTTGATAATCCCCCCTCCTTTGCTGGGAATAAAACTGCCCCCACCCCCAGACTCCACCCATGACAGCGTGTAGACACCCTCAGAGGTGCCCAAATGGAGTCCTGACTTCCTGAGCTGCAGGGACCAGGGGTGTAGACAGCTTAGCCAATGCGATTCCATCCGAGGAGGAATCAGATGGAATTCGCCAGGAAGCTGCTGCTAGACACTGTTTGCACTGAAAGGCTAAAGGGGAGTTGGGAGTTGGCCATTAGCACCTCTGGCAGGCAGACTTGACAGCGGTGGGGCTACGGGTGGGTAAGAGGGTGAGGAGCCAGGGGTGCAGGGCCGTTAAGGACAGCCATCCACATGACCATAAGATATCTTTTTCTCAGGAAAGGCCAATGAGAACATTCCTGGAAGGTGTTACATTAGTTGAAAGGGTGGGGGGGAGAAGGGGGGTACGCTATTCTCTTCTGTCTAAAAATGTAAGGGTAAGTGCCATAGACAAGCCTCTCTAGGGCAGATTGCATGGCAGCTGAAGTAACATCAGGAGGATTTCAGAAGCAGAAAGGCAGATTTTATCAGAGAGAAAATCCTAATTTTTTGCTGGGGTGGTGTAGATGTGTCATCTTAGACACCTGTTCTGGTAAACCTGATCTTTTGACAAATGCTTGAATTTTTGGAGCCTCAGCTTTGCCATTTCTAAAATTGGACTCCTGTAGTAGCTAGCTTGTATTGTCAGGGGTATCGAACTGGGAAATCGTCAACAGACCTAACAGAGCCCTCCATCCTGTATTAAGTATGGAGACCACGCTTGCTAACACTTACAGATGCTGTGAGAATGTAGGTCTATTTTCTATGGGAGAATTTGCTCTCTACAACTGTGCTATCCAGTATGATAGGCACGAGTCACCTATGGCTACACAAATGTAAATGAATTAAGTCAACATTTTAGGCCCGTGGTCTTACTAGCTGCATTCTGAGACCTCAGTAGCCACATGCCTAGTGCTGGACAGTGCTGCTAGGCCACCTCTGGCAGTCACTGACTCATCTCTTTTTGTCCCCACAGAATCCCCTCTAGAGGGGAGATTGCAATGAGCCCTCTGGGGAGGCAGGGGAGAGAAAGAGACAGAGAGAGGGTGAGAGGGCAGTGAGCCTCATTGCTATGCCAGTGCTCTGGTTGCTCAGATGGCCTCCCGACTGGTGCTAATGGCTCACGGGGCCCTTCTCCAGGGAGCCAGCACTCCCCAGTCTGGATCTGTGACCCCATCCATGTTATCCTGGAGCTGTCTGAGACCTATCGATTCTACGGAGGGTTCCCTTCTCTAGAGGCTCATGTCCCCAGTCTCAAAGCAGAGAGGAACGGTAAAAAATAAAGTATTCCTTTTAGGGCAGCTGTTAGACTGAGGATGTAATGAACCATTTGCATTTATGTAAATTGCACGATTATGTAAATTACAGTAACATTTCAATAAGGAGACTGTGGGGCCTGCTGGAGCTTGGAGCAAGGATAGGAGTGGGGGCTGGAGCTGTCTGTGGTGAAAGTCCAAGTAGGAAGTGATGGGGGAGGGAGCGAAGCAGCAGGAGGGTCCCTGAGGATGTGGAGACTATTGGGTAAGAGGGACATACCCTAAAGAGCCCAGAATACTCCCTGGTCTAAAAGGTGAGACTCCTTTTCTAGAGACCAAAGTCATGGGCGACCTTCCCGGCCACATCCTGCTTCTCCAATGCCGGAAGCTTCGCTGCAGAGAACATCAGGAGGGCTACAGGGGAAAGGCTCCGAAGCACGCACTGTCCACTTGTGAGATTACAACTGCTTTAGGCAATACCATCTTCTTAATTTCTTCTGCTCTCTCCCTAAAAATTGACAAGGAGAACACCAGAAAGCAGCACAGAGCAGCTACCAAAGTGCACTGAGTCCTTCGCCTCCAAGTGAGCTGTTAAACACTCTGCTGGTCTCAGAATGCATGCACTTGTTTTACTTGCATGGTTTTCCTTTTGGCTGGGTCCATCTGCATTAATTCCAGGATTATATAGCTGTTTTAGGACTCAAGTAGCACCGACTCTATTAGCACCCTCCGGGCCCAGGGGCCATGAGCATCCCTGGAGAAGTCATCTTTCCCTCTTTTTGGATCCTAGGCCCTGGGGATTGTCCCTCAGGCTCCTCTGCTGGGCCTGAAGGACTGAGCCCAGGGACATATATAGAACTGGCATCCGGTCTCACTTAGTCCAGACTTGCCCTCGGGTAAATGAGCTCTTCTTTGCATCACCTCAGGGGACCGGCAGTTCAGTCCTCTGAACAGTTCAGAACCATAAAAAGGGGAAGTGGGGGAAAACTTTAATAGTTAAAATAAATTGTTCAGGTGACTGGTAATTATTTGTGGATAAAAGGAAAGGCTTTTAAATTCAGGAATTTTAAATGTCCACAGCAGGGTTCTGTAGAGAAGCTTAGGATTATATAAGGAAGGCCAGAAGGAAAGTGATTTTGTTACCATGACATTAGGGGAACACAGAAAGAGGAGACCAGGAAACCCTGACAAAAAACACCGCATGTGTGAACAGCAGCAGCATAATGCTGGGCATGGAACAGACTGGGGTTACTGGGAAGCCTCCATTGCTAAGTGCCACTAAGCGCTGTCTTCTGGGTATAAAACTTCTACCCTGCATGTTGGTTTTAAGTTTTGTGTGATAATGACCCCGAGAATGAACAGTAGTCAGAAATTCACAGCCACGCTGCCACTATGCCTTGCTTTTGAGAATCTCAATGTTTACTCTAGAAATGGTCATGGCCATGCAACAACCAGCTTTCTGGATATCCAGGTCTCCGGAGGAAATGGTGCCGCTAGTATGTGAAGTTCCGTTTCTCAAAGTGCAGTGTGGTGCTAGCATCAGAACCACCTGGGGAGGGAGAGAGGGGCCTGGGGAAAGTGCAAATTCCTGGGTGCTGCCCCAGAACCTGCTGGATTACAACCTCCGGGTGTGCATTTTGAGTAAGCACGCTGGGTGTGTTCAGGGCACACTGAAGTTGAAGTTGGCGGAGCGCCAGTTAAAATAGCAAGAACCAAGCCCAAGCCCTGAGGACCCGAACTTGCCTTTCCCCATTTCTTCCTAACAGGGAGAAATGTAATTTTTCTCAGAACACAGAACTCTTGACATCTGGTCTTTAAACACAGTTCACCTTCAAGGAACTTCAAGGAATTGCTTGCTTTTGCACATCCTTGCCATGAGGAGGATGCAGAGCTGCCGGCAGCCGGAGTGTCCGCGCAGCTCTGCCATTCACCCCTGCACATGGGGGCAGAGATGGCCACTCCAGTGAATGGCACCTGCAGCCTGAAGCCACAAAACCGCTTTACTTCCTCACTTAACACATCATTCGCAGCAAGTACTTCTGTTTCATCTCGAACGCGTCCAGATGAATTGTACAGAATACAAGCTATTTCACACACAGACCAGGAGGTGTCAATGCTGAAAACTGAGAACGAAGCTGAGGCCAGTGCGTCTGCTTGGGGGAGTGGACATGGCCAGGTCTGTGCTCCTGGCCACGCTGGCCTGGGCTGTTGGCCACATCACATTGCCTTTCTGAGCATGGTCATCTCTTTCTGGAATTCAGCAAAAATAGATAGCTGCGTTCCTTACACCTCCCCCTAACCATACCTCCTAGAAAAAGTAATTTTCAGAAATATCCTACAATACCCGAGACGGAGGAGCACAGCGCACGTGATCAGTGCGGTTCCTGCATCTCTGCGGAGAGTGTCAGACAGGAGTGGGCTTGGTGAGTAGAAGAGTCTTCTAGATTTGGGGTTCTCATACTGTTTCCACGGGTTATAATTAAGAACAAGAACACAGAGTTAAGTGTGTCCTTAAGTCTCCTAACCAGGGACTCAACAGCATCTCTACGTTCTTAGGATAGGCCTCACGCTTCCCATTATCAATGGCCCTGTAATGAGGGCACTTGCCTCTAACCTAAGACCCTCACTGTGATCCATAGGTAAGAAAACTATGACCCGGAGAGATTGGTTTCTCCAGGGACACTGGAGGCGGGGGCCAGAATTAGAAGTTAGATCTCCCAATTCCCATTTCAATTCTTTCTGATTTGCCAGCCTTCTCCGGGACAGCATGGTTGCCAAGCTGAGGGGTTGGGTTTGTCCCCACAGCCGACATAGAGCCACTGACCATTGCAACAAGGGACCCATTCCCAGGTGTTCTCTGTAAAGATACCACCTGGGATGGATTGAGGGAGTGGTGAGAGGAGCGGGGCAGAGACACTACTCATTGCAACACTGGCCTGGGCCCATCTGCTCAGGCCAGAGATGTAAAAAGCCTCAACTAATGGGTTAAGGAGAACACACTGGGGAGATTTTTGCAAGATGAGGGGCCATAGGACAAGTAAGCCAAATGAACATAGTGGCAGTTGGGGGAAAGGTGTGTTTAATCATTCCCAGGCTGGGTGGCAGGATAGGAATGGGGGCAGTCATATAGGAAGAGGCTGGTCTTGGAAAATGGTCGTCAGTTTAGAGACATGTTGAGTTTGGGGCATGAAAATCTCCAGTAGAGAGTTTGCTAATCCATGGCTGGACCTCAGGGAGTTGCCACTGTGAAGACACCGTGTAGGGGTGTCCGCACAAAGGTGCTAATGGCGACGGACGCTGTGGGAAGAGCAGGGCAGTCCCGGGAGAGCGTACAGAGTGAGAGGGAGAAGATCCAGATCCAGGGATGGTGATGATGTAAGGAGTTACAGAGGAGCCCGTGAGGAAGGAGGGAGGGAACGTCAGGAGATCACAGGAAAACAGCAGGGGCTCTCATGCAACCAGATAACCACAGGTGCCACTCCTACTCTGAGCACCAGCTATCAGAGGAGGGGCGCTGGTTGGTCAAAGAAAGACTGGAAGAGAGAAAGACCGTCTCCAGGCATAGACATCCATCCGCTCATGTCACCATGCAGAGGAGCCGCACATAATCTCGAGTAGTAGGAAGGATGTTCGGGAGCTCACGGTAAGGGAATTCAGGCAAGCTGTCCCCCACACACTTACCACGATGAGTGCGACCACAGACAGCGTGTAGTAAATGGAATCCCTCAGCAGGCACCAGGAGGACAGAGCCACCACCTGAAGGAAAAGGGAAAAAGACAGTAAGAAGCAGGACATCCAATGGGTGCAAATGAAAAAAACCTGGCTCCTGCTGGCCCCAGCCAGTGAGGAACCTGAAACACAGCCTAGTATTTCTCTCTCCTGTCCTCGACCAGTCAGTCTGGCCAGTCAATATGAATTTATTGAAGATCTTCAGGTGTATCGGTCTGGACCTTCTGGAAAGCACATGCCAAGATGGGCTTACACCTGCCACAATTGTATCAGGGGATGAGCGCATGAGAGAAAATGGGGAAGCAGTCAGGCAAGCTGGGAGTGCCACCCAACATAGCTCGGGTCTGACCTGTAAAAGACAGTGGGCAGGTTGGGTGGATGCATCGCAGGTGGCAGGGCAGTCTGAAGAAGGTTCAGGAAGATTGAGGGGGAGCTTGGGTGCATAGCCACCTGTCAGAGGAGTCCCGTGTTTCCCAGGAATCGGTCAGCCCTAGCATCCCTAATGTCCTGTAAGGGAATGGGATCAGCAATCTTACCCTGTGTCCTTTGTCAACACTCTAACATCTGCCTCAGCCCGACCTCCTGTGAGGAACGAAGGCACAAAGCTGTCCGTCAGAAGGGACATGGGCAAGGTCTCTGGGCACTTCTCTCCTGGCACTCTATTCTCATCTCTATAATATGCCTAGCCTAGTTGGCACTTGATCCCTGGTTTAGACAGAAGTTTGAAAGATCAATTTGCAAAGATCTGGAGAAAATGTGGTTCTTAGGCAGTGGGGAAGTGTCCCTTTGAAGATACGATGGCTCTGCTGAGCCAATGCCACTGACAGGCATGATGCTGGACGCTATGGCAGCCTCGGCAGCTGTGTCCAAACTTCCATCAGAAGAAGGAGGCCCCTGGGTGAGACAAAGGAGAATGAAGGGACCAGGGGTGGGCACTGCACAGAGGAGAGAATGGGGGAGGGAAGGGAGCCAGGGATACGAGGGTCAGATTTTTATTCTGAAGGAAAAATAATGTCTTCTTGGTATGTTCTTCAACATCTTTTTTTTTTTTTTTTTTTTTTTGAGGAATACCTACAATTAAAAAAAAATTTTTTTTTTGCACCAAAACCGGTTTGGCTCAGTGGATAGAGCGTCGGTCTGCAGTCTGAAAGGTCCTGGGTTCAGTTCCGGTCAAGGGCATGTACCTTAGTTGCGGGCACATCCCTAGTAGGGGATATGCAAGAGGCAGCTGATCGATGTTTCTAACTCTCTATCCCTCTCTCTTCATGTCTGTAAAAAATCAATAATATATATATATATATATATATATATATATATATTTTTTTTTTTTTTTTTTTTTTTTTTTTGCTTTGCAGGTTAGTTCTATGCTGGCAGACACTCACAAAGGAATTGGGGAGATTCCATAATGCCATGACTTCCTGGGATGTTACTCACAACTTCCTCCCGCCTTCCTAGAAAAGTGTCAACTACCCCTGGCTGCCTTTGAGCTTGGCCTGGTAAGTGAAAAGGACAGAGCAAATGTCAACACCCAGCTGGACCAATGGCAGGCACACGTGGTACCAAAGACAATAGGAAAAAGGAGTTCCAGGGACAAGGCAACCTTTGGTGCCTTTTCTCTCCCTGGTGGCTGTGTCCGTCTATAGAGAAGAGACCAGCAATGTCAAACCAGAGAGGGCTTTCTGGATTCAAATAACATGAGAGATATGACTTAAATAGAACCATAAATGAATAATGAGTCCCGTCTTTTTCCATTAACACGTTCTTCCACTTGTTATATGAACACTTAGATATTTTCTGTTGCTAATTTTACCTTGTTAGGTTTCATATTTGCAGATATAAATTACAGATGATGGGGTTGTCAGGAAGAGGACGGGTGCTACAAAAATCACTTTAGAACAAATACAAAGCATTTTTTACCCTTTTATCTTTGTCTCCTTGTATTGTCAACTCTTAGAACCTCTGGTCCTCATTCAGCAGCCACAGAATAGACTAAATTGGACTATATTGTTCACTTTCTAGTAGGTCACAAAAGATTGTGAATATCCACTCAATTCATTAAAATTAGACACATGGAATTAAAACATGTAGCAAGTATAAGTTCTGAATTTCTTAAAAAAAGTATTTTTATTGATTTCAGAAAGGAGGAGGAGAAGGAGGAGGAGAGAGAAACATCAATGATGAGAGAGAATCATTGATTGGCTGCCTCCTGTATACCCCACACAGGAGATTGAGCCCACAAACCTGGGTGTGTGCCCTGACTAGGAATCAAACGACGACCTCTTTGTTCATAGGTCAATGCTCAACCACTGAGCCACACTGGCTGGACAATTCTGAATTTCTTTAAAAAATCACTTGGGCTTTTGGTTTAAGATGGCAGTTTGAACACATATTACTTTTGCTGTTTCTCATTATATCATAGCAAGATAATATAAAGGGATTTTTATTTTTAGAAAAAAATAAAAAAGACATAAGCCTGCAAGAAAAAGAACAGAAGAGCTGATTAAAGCATCAACATTTTGGAAATTGAACATCAAAAGAAACAATGGTCCTTCAGCTGGAAGTGGGCAAAGCTCTAGATGTGTGGGTGAAGGTGAGCCTGAAAGCAGGGTAACTGGAGGACTGCTCAAGAGCCTAACGCCCAGGCTTCCTCCACCACTTCAAGCAGACGAGGGACTGACTGCACATCCCACACCTTAACAGAAAACAGGACATCCAGCCCTTGCATCGTTCCAGAAAACAGAGAAATAGAAGTAATCAAATAAATAATTCAAGGGAAATTTCCAGAAGGTAAGGACGTGCATTTTCTGAGTAAGCAGAGGGCCCTCTGAGTGTCCAGCTCAATGGGTATAAAGTTGTACACCAAGGCATGTCATCAGTAATTTCAGAATATGGAGGCACAGAAAAGTCTTAGGGGGAGAGAGAGAGGGAGAGGGAGAGGGAGAGGGAGAGGGAGAGGGAGAAGGAGAGGAGAGAGAGAGAGAGAGAGAGAGAGAGAGAGAGAGAGAGAGAGAGAGAGAGAGAGAGAGAGGGAGGGAGAGAGAGAGAATGAATTATTATATATGCAAAGGGTGAAAACTGGAATGGCTTTTTATTTCTGAACAAAAGCACTGGAAGCTAGAAGATAATTTTGAAGATACCTGAAAGTCTATGTCCAACCAATTGTTCATTAAAAGTAAGAGAAGATTAAAAAAAAAAAAGAGCTTGTCTCAAAAACTTTACTTTTCATGCACTCTTCTCAAAAAGCTACTGGAAGATGTGTTCCACTAAAAGAAGGGAGTAACCACTTGTTATATAAAAGTATGTCACAATAACCTATTATATCAGTTCATAAGAATCTATAATAATAAGTGAGGGAAAATTTCAGAATAGTGAAGAAAGATCCCAAAAAAGACAGTAAAAGGAGATTCCAAAATTAAACTTTTCCATCAGGCTTAGAAAACAACTTAGCCAGATTAGAGGTCAGAAGACTCAGAAGTAATGAGACTGAAAGCACAAAATGAATGGAATATTTGAGAATTCTTAACCCATGGAAAGGATACTAGAGCGCTCTCGGGACAGAACATAGAAAACTAAGCAAAGAAATGAATAACAAAAGGGTAACTATAAACAATAGGGAAAACACAGACTTGTGCAGGAAAGGAAGATGAATTATTAAGTATTAATAGCTCAGCTATAAATAATGGTGACAGAGTCATAATAAACTAAGCATAGACTACTGTCTAACCAAATTTATGATATTACTAGTTGGGGAGAATGGAGGAATGGGCAGAAAGGGCAGGTGGGGCTAAAATAGACCCAAATCCTTCTCTTCCATACGGGGAGTTCACTGGAGAATGTCTGAAACTACAAAATCAAGTAATTCCACCAAAGGAAGTTATTTAGAGATTTTGAGCAAATACCAGGAACAACCAATTTAAAGAGAAGTATTTGCCTCAGAAGAGTGGGAAATTGGTGCTGGAGGGTTGGAAGATGGCTGTTTCAGAATAAGCATAGATCTGATTGCCTCCTTAAACTGTGCATATATAGCTTTAATAAAAATAAAACTAAAATAGAAAGTATGATACAAGTTATCCACTTAGATTTACTGCATAAAGAAATCCACTTTGCACTAGGTCTAAGGTGTCAAGTCTGAATCCATAGTGAAGCATTTTATCTCTTTATCAATAGAACTAGAGGCCCCGTGCATGAAATTTGTGTATTGGGGGTGTCCCACAGTCTAGCCTGCACCCTCTGGGATCCCTCGAGGGATGTCTGACTGCTTGTTTAGGCCTGATCCCACAACTTTTCCGTATGTGAGCCCATGTAGAGCAATGATTTTCAAGAATTTTAATACCTGACTACTTAATTAGGGACACTGACCTTTTTTCCCTTACATTGTCAAATTTTAAAAGTGGCTACAGCCAATGCAATAATAGAATGAATTAAAATTATACCTATTTTTTTTTTTACATATAGGCACTGCCTCCCTCATTGGCCAGCAATAGGGGTTTAGCTAAGTTGAGGGAATTGACTAAGATCCTACAACTAATAGCAGGGAGGGGCTGGGATATGAATTCAGGAAGTTTGAGTCTCAAGCCCATGTTCACATATATTATGCTATAGTGCTCACTGAGGACAAGGATGAAAAGCAGACAACTATTTGTGAGGGCTTCCTGGAGATTTTCTTTTCTCCATGACCCCAAGCTATAAGGCAGCTGTGTTAGAGACAGTAGCCAAAGGAGGGAAGAGTTGAAGTGAGAGACAAAAAAAACAGTGACCACAGCTTCATTAAAACATATATATATATATATATATATATATATATATATATATATATATATATATATATATACTGCTTTAAGAAAATTTAGGGAAAGCAACCAAAGCAGAATAGTTGCCATAGGACCATAGATACAGATATGATTTTGGTATGGACATATTCTAAGAGAGAGAGAGAGAGAGAGAGAGTGTTAAGTGAATCTGAAATTACTCTGTTTAGCTAAATTAGTTTAAAAAAAAACAACAACACAAAAGCAATGAAGTTCACT